ACTATTAACTATATCAATGGCCCTCGGAGTTATGTAAACTGCAATCACAATTTTCCCGATTCTTTGATTTTTCGACATAACGAGTTTCTCCCATTTGATCGCGATTTTCCAGCGGCGTATGGACAAAGCTCTACCAGGAGTCTCAGGCCTAAGCTTTGATCCGTCTCAGGGTCAAATGAACCGCGTCACGACGCGCACGTGGCCGTATTCGCATGCTACGCGAAGGAGATCCCGTCGAGTTTTGTGTGCCAACAAGCTAAACGCGTTTCACGGATGACCGCCTCCGATCAATGCAGCCTCCACCGCCATCCACCGGCTCTATTCTGCGAGTGCGTGCACTCGCGCAAGAATTTGTTCCATCGTCCAAACAGAACGAATCGCACAGTTTCGACCTCTCGTTGTCAATAGCACGGGTATAAGTGTCGATTAGGATGTTGCATTAGAACTGCCAAAGTAGCAACGCTCCCCTCTAGCGACGACGCTCGTCTTTAGCTCTTTCGCTTTCGGTTAGAATTTCTTTGGGACTCCGAGTGTCGATAAAATAATTGTTAGCGAGGCAAAGGTGGCTTCATTCTCGAATCTCAGATTAGAGATTTCATTTTCAAAGTCGATCTAAGCTTACCATTCGTGGCAATAGAATGCTAAGAAAGCACCTCGAGTTCCTAGTAAAAAAAGTGCCTCGAGTGCAAAGGGTTAATACGAAACGAATCGTAACGAGGAGTACTGAACTCGAACCAACGTAAAACAAACGAGAAGCTCGATCCAATTTCAATGAAATCGTAAGCATCGCGGGGATAATTTTATCGAACGGTCGTGACGCGTTTGACTTCTAAACAATCGTTCCAGCGCGAACGTTAGGCTTCGAGCACGTTCCGTGTTTTACGAGGACCCACCGCGTAGATCGCGTTCGAAGCCACCATGCGGGCATATGCCACCATGCTCATTGTAACGAGATGGACACAGTCAAATGAGCAGCCCCTGATCTCGAGCACGCGCGACGATATCGACACGCTTGCTCGATCAAAGTTTCCTCGAGTAGCACTGGAATTATAATAATATTCGAATATTCCATGGGTTTTCGAATACGAATATTTTCATTCAATACCCAATTCTTTGTGAGAATAACATGGTTGTAGTTTTTGAAACACGTTGACACCTAGTAAATATCATTCGTATAGAAATTAGTGTAGCTTATAACGGTGTCAACGCAATCTGTCTCTGAAACTCAGATAAACAAAACTGCAGCAGTTGTTTGGGGAAATTTCTTAAGTGGTCAATAGTGCCTTCGCCTTAGTTCGGACAAGTCTCGCATCGTTTAGCAAGCCTCGGAAGCAAGTATCTCAGCTGAACAGGGGCCGATTCCCCCAGTCTCGAGGCTCGAACGAAGAAACGAGAAACTGAAGTCGTGGAGCAGATGCGTTTCTGTCAAAACACTCGGCTCGCCGTAGAAAATGAGACGAACGCGCGCTGTGTAGGGGGTTAGAGGAGACGGAAGGTGAGTGAGTCTCAGGTCGAGGATCGTGCCTTTGGGGTCGTTCTCGCGAGGACACGCTCTCGATCCTCTCGTTTCTTCGCGTCGCCGACGCCTCGTATTTAGGGAAGAAACGGCCCGTCTCCGCCCTTCCTCCTTTGTCGACGGAATTAGATTCCGGAATCATTGGTCGTAAATTCGAACGTGAAAAGGCCAACGAGAAGCGTCGCTTTTGGCCCAAAAGTTTTGGGGAATAGCGGTTGGTAAAGGTGGAGAAGTGGCGAAGAATCGATACGATTTTTGGATGTTTGGAAACGGAGCTGGTTGACAGGATTGCTAGACTCGAGACGAAAGTAGTGGAAGTTGTAAGGCAATCGCAAATATTTCAATTGTTACGATATTTCTGCGAAGCAAATAGTCTATATTTTGCATCGCAGCACAAACAGCAATTGATCGCAGTTTTGTTTGGATTGGAGAAAAATGGTAGTTGTTCTAGAGAGATCATAAACACGCGAAGCAAATTTATTCGGTCGACGTAAAGTCGAAGATGACCCCACGTTCTTGATAAACGAGTTCCAAGGGATTGGAAGTAACGCTATCGGAAAAGATACGTTTCACACGCTGAAAGGTAGTTATTTTCTTTGGCAGGTTAAATATATTGTTCTATTCTCACCATTTCCCTAAAGGGAGCTTATCGACCGACTCGCGCCTGACTTCCTGTGGTCTGTTGATAAACGATATCGTACCTCGTTACTGTTTACCGAAATCGCAGTCGGGTCTTTCATTAGGTTGTCGAAGGGCGACCACAGGAACTGCCTGCTTCCGCTAACGACCTCGGTGATCGTTTCGCTTTCGTTGCAAATAGTTACTATAAAATATTCCGTGAAAAAGAAACTCCTCGACGCCAAAAATAATTAATTATGCCAGGTCTTGAGAATCGTGTATTTTTATGGGATTCGGGTTAAAGTTGACTTCGTTATCGTACTAAATATGGAATTATTTTTGTAAAGTCCAGCGTAGATATAATTGGATCGTTCCTCAAGAATTTCATAATTGTACCAATTTAGAAATTATTATTCTAAAATTAAACTAAAAGCGTAGTTATTTATTTTATTGCGACCAGAAAGAAGATAACCAATGCTCGAGTATACAAGACTCACGATCGCAATGAAATATTTTCACGATCCCCGAGAGATATTTTCACAGGCTCGATGGCAAAGAAAGCTTCCAAACTTTATGAGTAAATCGCGGCAGAAAATTCGAAGAACCTACAGGAATTCCGGAACGGGGAATGTTGTCCCACACGGGGAGGGCTGGCAGATCTCGTGTATCGTTTTGTATTTGTTGAAAACAGACGTATTGTCCGCGGGGGGTGCAGAGAGGCGAGAAATGGTGCAGCCAGCAGGAAGGCCTGTAGGCACTCGTCGCATCTGCCTTCGATTCATTTTCAATCGTAATTGATGACTCCTGCCCCCGAGGCACCTTTTTTCGCTCGACTCTCGAGTGGCCAGGGTCCGGTCACCCTGAAAAGGTTAACAGCACCGTGTCGGGGACTTTTGCATAATGGAGGCGAAAGTCACGGGCCACGCCGATAAATTATCCCGAAGCCCATTAACGCGACTCCCATAGTCGCTTCTGCCTTTCGAGGATTTCGGAATAGTCTCGTTTCGTTGGGGAGGGACGCTCGAGTGGTGTCGAAGAACTGCTTTGTGGGGCTTGTTTGGATCCTCCGGTGGATGTTTTGAATTCACGCACAGTTCTATAGATGGGATATTAGCTGTTGACACCGTTCGGATGACTTAAGTAGAGGGCGAACTCTCGCTTAAATTATTTACAAAGTTTCTATTAGCCCTTTGCACTCGAAGCCTTTTTTTCTGGTATCTACTCGGGATGTTTCTTAGCATTCCATTGCCATGAATTCTAAGCTATCATCGAGAATAAGGTCACCTTTACCTCGCCGACAATCATTTTATCGACACTTCGAGTTCCGAAGAAATTAAACCTAAAGAAACCTAATGGTGACTGAGAGTCACCTCTCGACTGCAAAGGGTTAGCTACCGAATATAGTATTTTCTTTGCTGCTTCGAACTCTTTACGAACGCTGCTTTAAACTCTTGCTTCCAGTAACGACGTAAAAGCACTCGAATCTAATAATTTTCCATGATTTTACTAAAACGAAAAGAAATTAACCTGAATTCTATTTCTATAAAAATTGAAATTTAGCGCAACGAACGAAAGATCAATGGACGACTTTCCGTTGGTTTCGCGACGATCTTGAGGAATCGTCCGTGGGAAGTGACAAGGGTCCTTGTTCCCCTGGTATCGGTTCTCCTCGAGTAGGGCTTCTTATAAGAATTCCACGGCTCGCGTTATCGTCTTACAAAGAGTCAATGCCCATGTAATCACTCCTCTTGCGAGCTTTTTCGTAACTTTTACGTTAACGGAACGACATTAACGAACACTCGTCACATAAAATTCCAAGCTCGAATCATCGAAGAATTAATTATTAAAATCTGGTTAAGGATTTCAGTCCAGGTCTTTATTCCCTTCCAGGATGAGTCTTTTTTTATTACATTAGGTGTAGAAATTAATTGTGCCTTGAAAGATAAAAGATTCCCCATCGGTGTTTTATTTGAGTTTGATTTGTTCAACCATTGTTCGCATGAAAAACGATTTAGACGCGTTGAGGTCCACGTTGATTCGATATTGCAGAGCTTGAAACAATAAAAGGGAGATTTACAGAGAAGATTTCGGGACGATTTGATAGGATCTGTACCCCTGCATCGCAACGCACGAACGCCCGCAGCGCTATTCCAGAAAATAACCCCTAATAGGGATCCCCCGTTGCTCCGTAAATGCATGAAGCGTTTACACACGCGCGCACACGGGACGCGGTAGCATTTGATGATTTCTTCGATCGCTGAACGGCAGAGAGATCGCGATCGGACGCCACTTTCCTGGCTGTTATTACCTTTCGAAACGATTTCAGCGATCCGTGTGCTATGAATATTCTTCACCGATGCTAGGAGAGTTATTTAAACGAGAAAGTGAAATACAGTTTGAGTTTCGAATATAAATTTTCTATATTGAAGGAAGTAGATGTAGAATTCGTTGGTAAAAAGTGAGGTTTAAAGTTTAAATCAATTGACAATTTGAATATTATTCTTGACAAGAAATAAACAAAAGATAATATATATATATATATATAAAATAATCGTGAGATATAGTTCTGTAACTATACTCATTCACAATGAGTATCATCGTGTGAATTAATTACCAAAGATGAAATTTGTTGTTCTGATCATCGAGGAATTTTGATAAACAAGAACATCATTTCCCAATCAGTGCGTCGAAAAATGATTAAGTTAATTTATTAAACAAAAAAACTCGACGTATTTATTCTTCTATCATTTTTAACCGAACATGGCAACCAAGGAAATGTTACTTCCTGTCTACGTTTGTCTCTGGGATTTGTGACCGAAAGGACAATTTTATGGGATTCGGGTAACGATTGAAAAGGTGAGCGTAGTTCGACGGAAATTACATTTAATCGATAAACAGCTTTTTACAATCGGAGCGCGATCTCCGCGCTCGCTCGTCACTCGTGGGTATTTCCCAGAGTTATACGCACGCACACTGCTCGAAGCCGCGAGAAATTAACCTAAACGATCTTTACAAATATGTACAATGCAACGAAAAATACGATACATAATATTGCGTGACGAGTCGGTGTTGCTCGATGCGTACCAGATACTGGGACTGTTACGATATTTTAATGTGTATTTGAATACTTATTGGTTGTTCGTATGACGCGAACGAAGTTTCTGTATTAGGATATTGGAACATGTTTATTTGTATAATGAAACCTTTAAAATACAATTACTCGAATATTACTATTCGAATAATTGAGTTTACGAACGTCAGTATACGAATATTGAGTACTCGAGTGCCATTATTCGAACACACGAGTACTCGGAACAACACTTTTCAAATATTTCAACAGTCGAGTGTACAATTATTCTAATATCGACTTAAAATGAAAAAGTTTTTGCATATTTGCACCGAACACCCAAATAAACATATAAAAAGAAAGCGAACATATCTTTCATTTGTACACGATTTTCCTCGGATATACACTCAATCATTCAAATACAGAATACTTCGATAAAAAGTCCCAGAGCCTGTTCCTAAATAAAAAAAAATCGTTCGATGACGCTCTGGCGCGCGATCCCGGAATTCCGAGTGAGATCCAGTGAATCATTCCGATCGCTGGATCGTGACGCATCGATCAATCTTTCGCTTCGTTGGGAATTCCGGAGAGCCTTACGATCGCGTGCTTTGCCTTTCCATCCAGACGCATCTTATTCTCTTTGAAGAATTAAAGATTCACTTAAAATTACGATCTCGAAAGCTCGATGGCATCGTTGGAAAGGGAAATAGTTTACAACCGAAACAGATGAACCAATTTGTCGCGAAATTGAAACAATTACAGTATCATTCTTTACAGAAAACGTACGTGCGTCGTTCGATTTCTGATTCCACTGTGAAAGCATCGTACCTTCCCGTGCTTCGTTTATTACAAATTTATTCAAAGCCTCTACTTATTCAAAACTTGTATTTATTTGTGTCGCGATACTCGTGTATCGGAAATAATTTACGTCGCGCTCGTTTTTCAGTTAACTCCGTCTTTATTTCGCAGTAATCCCCGCTTTCGAGTCGCGATTTTTGCCTCGTACACAAGACTCGTCGTTGCGACATTCGTTGAGCTTTCGAATCAATATTGTTTCTTGAAACCAGGGACCACCGCAATTGCTACTACTTGGAGCGTTTCTATTCGCTAAATGATCCTGGTAACAGGCTAACGAGTGAATTGCTTAAATTTATTATACGATAGATGGATAAAGAAACTGAGAATTTTTCAATTATACACAAAGCAAGTATTACAGTTTAAATGATCAATGGCAACGTGATGAAATTCGCGCGCGCGCGCGCGCGCAATAGCACTCGAACGGGGGGCAGTATATAATAAATTTGTCATTGGAGTTGACCATTGGAAACACCAATAATGTTTATGTATATATATTTCCGAGCGACTTATTATGTAAGGGGAGAGTGAACCATGTGGATGGTGTTTTAAACGATGGTAGGCAAATTCAAGGTAACTTCGATCTACCCAAACTGAGTTAAGAGAATATAATTATATTAATGTAAGTAATAGACTGTGAACAGTGCCGAGTAATTTTCACTCGGTCCAAAATTACAAACACAAAAAACAAACGCCTAATAGAAATCGTAATTCCTTCCAGGTCTGATCTTTCTTCTTCTCTACAATATTTTTAACGAACGTTCCGATTGGCTGACCCGTATTTGCCAATTATTTGCTCTGAAATTCTACAAGTAATCCGTATTTTTTGACAAGTTTTCGAGAAACGCCGTTCACCATCCACATCGATCTCTAATTCTAAGTTGATATGTTATCGGAGACCGGGCTCGTTACTATTACGCGACACCATTCTTCAGTTTGAGGGATGGAAGCCTCGTCGCACCTTCGAGAAGAGATCAGAGGTTAAAACGTGTCGTTATCATGTCACCTACAGAAATATATGAGCTCAAATTTCTAGTGAAATTGCTTAGGATGCACTTCGAGACAACCGTGTCTCGCGCTAGAGAGCTCGAGAAATTTCCTCCGAGTGGGATTCGGGTCCATTGACCGGAATTGTTGACAAAGGGTATTTTACTATTGGCGAGGATGAAATAACAATTTATAGATAATATAGATAAATATTTAAAAACAGACAGAGTAGTAAAATGGAAACAGATATTTATGATTTATTTAAGGAGAGGTTATGTGGTCTTATCGGGTGACCTATTCAGTTAGAGGCCTGGCAGGCTAGAAAACAATTGATGATCGAAAATTTGAGAATCCCAAGATTCTTGCTGGTAAATAAAAACACGGAATAACCAAAGTCCTCGAGATACAACAAATTTGATGTTACTCAAGCAACCAAGGTAGCAAGAGCACGCGATTTAAACCTGAAACCGAGATGGATTCCCATTCGTCCAGGTACTATCTCTGAGTTAAGAGAATATAATTATATGAAGAACAACAAATGTTGCATATTTAATACTCGTAGAACACACTCGTAAGCAATTTCATCAATTCGTAAGTTCCGTTGCACGGCGCGACGAGGCACACGCAATCTTGGTATCCATTCCGAACCACAAATGGTGAGCTTTCTTTCGATCGAGTCATCCTACAGATTCGTTGCTGCGACGTGATACCGTTTGACTAACGATACATTCCTTATACCTAATAGTATAGTTAATGGAACAAATATGACGATCTACTTAATCGCGTAAGTGACTCGCAACACTTCCACGAAGTGAAGTGAAACGGTATCACTTTACGCGAGGCTGTAAACTCGCGTAAAATCGCTATATTTGTTCCCCTAACGATACATACTCTCTTCGTCCACCAGAGAAAAAGAGAAAACGAAACGCTTCGTTAAGGTTCTCCGTAACGTCGCGTATAAAAAAAAAAACAATTGCAGGGTTGTCTCCTCTCTGTCCGTTCGAACGGAGCGTCGCCGTTGATGGAATCCCCAAGGATTCGTAGGGAAGAATCCATAAACGCTGTCAAAACCTTACGCGACTAGCGTGCCTTATCATCGTTACAATTGTACATAGAAATTCGGCGTTGTTGCGACGATGCTCACTGCGACGTTCTCAAACTTCAAAGACAGTTCGACGGTGCAGTATACAGATTCCTTGTATACTTTGGAGAGTTCACCTCGGATCCAAACGTTTGAACCACCGATGTTAACCGTGTGACTTCGCGTTGCATCGATTCGATCGATCTTTCGGACGCATTGACCGCCTTTCGTCAGAAGATTGACAGGATCTAGCTGGATCAAGCTCTATGAGAGGGATTAACGCCATTCGGTCAATCTACCGGTCCTTGATCTTGTTCGAGGGACCTTTACGCGTATCTTCAATTGATTACAAAACTCTTCACGATGTGGGGACTCTCGGAGTGGGATCTCACGGTTTCAGAAGGACGTCTCCAACGTTGGGAGAGTGTCTTGCAAAGGACCATCGTTACCTTCGATTCGATACAGGTGAATAATAGCTTTGAAGGTAGGTACTCTTCGATCCGTTGACAAAATTCCGTTGCGTCGGTCGATAATTCCTCAGGTCTCGGGAGTACTAGATTTCTACTCCCTCACATTTTTAACACGGACACCCCTTGATTCACGCGTGGAACAGTTCTCACTTAGGATACCTCGATCCATACACGAGTCGAGTCATCTTGGACCGCGCAGCTTCCTAAAACGTCTCGGCTCGTGGTGTCGCCGACCTTTCCTCCACCAGCCTTCAAACTCACGAAAGTACTTCGTCTACTCGAAATCGTCAGACTCAAACGCAAGCCACCCTCCAGAACATTACAAACGCCCCTCTAGCATCGCACTTCCTGATCGCAGAGATCTCCTATCCCTCGAATCACATACCAAACGATCTGTACTTCTCGGGAACCAACGTCGCCGCGTATGTCGCGCGATTCTCACCTTCTGGCAGCTTCCAGGACACTGAAAGGCGATCAGGACGTGAGCCGGGATCGGAGAAAAGTCAAGAGGTCTTGCTGGCGAGCTTCTCGCTGCCTCAGTAAGCCCTCAGTCCGCCTTCCAACTCGGGATCCTGTCGGTGGGCGAGGTGAGGCTCGATTCCTCTGGTCGTTCCCGTGCCAGTTCCCGTCACGTGATGCCCGTGGTGCCCGTGGTGGTGATGGTGATGATGATGATGGTGATTCAGGTGCGGTGGCTGCGCGGCTACGTTTCTGTACGCCCTCTGTTTCTCGTCGAACTCGCGCACTCGCTGGCTGTAACGCTCCAGCTGATCGCGAAGCACAGCGTCCTCTTCAGCGGCCCGTTTCTCGTCGAACTCCAGGCAACCGACACCGTCCAGTCTCTCCAGGTCGATCCATCCGCGCCACAGCACGCACACTCCGTTCATTATCAGCTGGGACCTCAGGTGCACCTGGAATCAAAACGAAGGACTCTGGTGAGCACTTGGGGCTGCTCTGATTCGTAAGCTCTGATTCGTAAGCTCTGATTCGTAAGCTCTGATTCGTAAGCTCTGATTCGTAAGCTCTGATTCGTAAGCTCTGATTCGTAAGCTCTGATTCGTAAAACCGATCAGCATTTTTATTTTTTTAGATTAACAAACCGCACAAAATCGCACGCGCGATTCTCAATCCCTCCGCGTGGCAAAGAAACTCGAGAGCACTCGCTCGAGCAACACGCACCGAGGAGCATCGTAGTAATTGTCTAACTGACAAGAAACCGGTACACGCTTCCACTTTTCCGTTCGGATGTTCGGACACGATTCCTCACCCTCCCCCCGTCTCCGAGGATGATTGTACATCGTGGATGCGTCGTGGGAGGGGTCGATTAAGGCTCTCGTAATATTAAGACCTAACCCGCCTTCAAGTTTCAATCATGTTTTGGCCCCCTCTCCTACCTCGACCCCCATACCTCAACCGTTTCTTATTTCCAGAGAACGATTACGCAGATTGGACGGTACAAGCTTCGGGGAAAGATGAAATTGCGAGGTCGGCGATGATCCTCGAGGAGGATAATTCTTCTTTTTTTTTTTTTTTGCCAAGTTGCGAGAAATCTTTTTCAATTTTATCGTTACGAAAAGTCACGGTGCGACCGATTTGTTTTTGTGAGATTTTCTGGTGAATATTATTGCGATCGACGCTTGGAGTATTTTTCTGTTATTGTCGGAGATTTTGTTACATCGTATCCTGTATATTAGAGATATATGAATTTATCTATATCGAACGTATTATATATATAGCCTATATATTAGAGATTTATATAAATATGTTTGCAACTCGAGTGTAATTAAACTCGAACGTTCAGGGAAAATGTAACTAGTTCAGCACAAACATATGATGTTGCAGAATTTATTATTATCAATATGAAAGGAAGCATTTTGAAACATTTACAGTTTTCAATAAAGGATTTAGATGGTTCGAGGCCTGAAGGCAATATAATACTACAGAACTAGTTGTATCGAGCAAATTATGTGATTTAGCTGCCAAGAAATTCAGGCTTCATAATATTCGTTTAAAAGGGGAAAGATTGAACAATAACGTTACTACTTTATTTTATATTTCATATACGAAGTTCTCTACATTCAAATTGTGTCCACGTCATTTGATTTTGTCTCGGGTATTAAGCAAAATTAAATGCCAACCGCTTGTTCCGTTTCATCCCTTCCCTCACCCTCACCGCCAATCAGTTCACATAACGTACTCAGGTTCCACTGTATTCGTTTTAAATCGTTCGTGTACTTGCCGTTATCGCATCGAACGAAAGTCGGTCCCGATGTTGTAAAAAAATCATGCTCGACGGAGCGCGAACGACGGGCACGGAAATTTTCAGAGGACTAAACGACTAAACGGTCCTTGGTTTTACGACACGGGCTCGACGTTGACCAGAGAACAATTTACGCGAAGCAAGAAGGGACGGAAAGGGCCTTAACCGTCGGGTCCCGAAAAAGTCGAACGGGTAATTATCTCGGGTCAGCTCAACAGGGTTATTTTATTTCCTGGCGAATGGCCCCGTTTCCGGCCGCGTTGTAAAGTTACGGACCAGTCACAAAACTCGAGCTGTCCGTGGAAAATCTATCGAAGCTCTCCTTCCTCCCCAGCCATAGTTTCTTCGAAATCGTTGTTTCCTTCGTGGATCTCAAGAAGGAAAATCTATAATTTCATCCAGCATTTAATTGGCAAAATTGATGCCTCCGTGGCACGATTATACTCAATCGTACACCGCGAGGAAAGATTTATAACACGAGGTTCGATGAATCCAAACGGAATGAATTCTTTCTTTGTTAAAAATTAGGAACACGACGGTGTTGCGTAACATATAATTCCACGCAGGTTGGTCTCGTATCGGTAGCTTAAACAAAATCTGACCTGAGCGTACAACCGAAATTATTATTCAATTTTATTTGATTTTATTTTATTTTATCGACACTTTACGGTTGCAAAGCGTCGACGTTCAGCTGCTCAACACGTTGGCTGTCGGACTCAAACACGTCGAAATTTCTATGAAATTAAAATTTTGCCTCGAGATTGTTGAAGGTTAGATGATTTAAGATTTGTCGTAGAATTGAATTTTTTAACCCTGCCAAATTCTAGAATCCTATCCAAATTGATTTTCATTGTCGCCTCACACGTGTCAAATGTCAAACATTGAATCGTCGTCGAAATATACGTTGTGAAAGACTAATTTTCCGTGAAACGACGGGCACAAAAATTGTGGAACAGCGTAACAGAAACACGTGGAACGAGAAACCATCGTTACGAGCCTCGTCTCATTCTTTTCATTCCTTTTTTTTTTTTTTTTTTTTCATCGAAGCATACAGCTGGTTGTCGACACGAAGCGACAATGTAACTGCACAGCGTGCGACTCTTTGTAGAATCATAATCGACTCACGGGAGTCGACAGCGGGCGACTGCAAACTCTCCGTCGGCTACGATAATCGAATCGTTTGTCGCCTTTTATGAAAAGAAAGACTGTGGAGAGTAAAACCAGGGAGAAATCGGTAATGTTTACGGGCAATATTTTCATGAAATATTTATGAAAGAGTTGCGCGGATATGAAAATTCATGGATTTTTATAAATTCATAATGGATGCATGTTGTACAAGTACGAAGGATCGTGCATATTATAAATTCAAAACGAATGCACGAAAAATGTATAAAAGTCTGGAAATTCATGGATTTTGTACATATATCCATCAAAGGTAGAAGTTTAAAGGGAAGAAGTTGATGGAAGAGTTATACTTTGGCAATGTTGAGACTGTGTTTCGAATATTCAGGTCGTTAGTATATACGAAGTATACAAATAGTCGAGTATTTGAATGGTATTTGAATATCTGGTAATTCTTATATTATTCGATTACAAAAAAGTTCATCAAGACCCGATCCTACTCCAGATGGAGGCTTGCAATGAAACAGCGGACGACACGTGAATCGCATACGTCCTTCGAGAGCTGCGAATCCGACGGGTTTCCCCGTTACGTGTCACGCGGTGTGTTTCATGAATCCCAAGACGTGCAGCACTCGTTCGTATGTCAAAATCTGTTGTAGGTGGTACCTGACGTCAACCCGTTCTCATGGCAAACCTCCAACGCGAACGAATTCCACGAAATCACGTTATGCAAACAAATCTCCTTTTACGATTTCATTCTTTTGGCGTGCGCCTTTTCTGGCGCTCTCAACTTGGAAGTTTACATTGGGTTTACGTACAAGTACTTCGATACAAATAAGAAAAATACAGGATAATTTGCATGTCAAATGGGAACAAGTGATAATTAACGATGGTCATCGAGTAATAACATTTTTGAAAATAATTTTCGAATTGAGAAACCTAAGTTATTTACGAAACACCTCGATACGTTCTTGTACAATTTATTTAACTCCACAACTCGAGGATCTTTCATTTTTCCTTCGAGACTCCGGTTACTGCGTTTCCACTGTAGCCTAAAAAAAAAAAAAAAAGAAATCCTAAGCAAACGTGGACCAAAGAAAGACAAAAGGATCCCCTAAAGACACACGCTGCTGACCGTACGGGTGTCCTAACCGATCGTCCTTTCCGCCAGGACACAGTTGACGAATGTACGCCCAAAGGCATTGTTGCTCCTAGTGGACCAAACGCAAAAAGGCACGGCACCGCCCATCGAAAAACAAAAGAACCGTCGAAATAGCCGGTCGTTTGTCTCGTGACTGTTTTACAGGCCCTTTCCACCCTTTCGGGGATTTTTCACCCCTTTCGGTTCCTAACGGCGGGGTCGAGCGACGCGCTGCGCGCCTCTCCGCTGCTTTTTTTCTTCTTAACCCCTTCTATGCTACTGTAGTCACCCGTTAGAATCATTCGAAACAGAAATACTTCGCTTTTTAAAGTGGTTCGATCCTAAGGTACTCCAATATTAAACGGTTTCTATTCTGAGATGCTTCGATACTAATTCTAAAGTCTTCCACTTATAAAGTGTTTTGAAACAAAAATGATTTAATTTTAAACTGCTTCGATTCTAAGATACTCCGACACTACGATGCTTCATCTCTGAAATAGTTCAACGCCAAAAAATACATACCGATCTTAAACTGCTCTAATCTAAAAATGCATCGATCCTAAATTTCAGCAGCCATAAAGATGCTTGGTAAAACGCGTCGATCCTAAACACTTGAAACAGGCAGTAAGATAGAAAGAATGCCAACGAAAAACTGAACCGTATCGAAAGGGTTAATTCTGTCCGACTTCGGCACAGCGGACCTCTGCGACATGCAAATGCGGCTGCGAAAGGGTTGTATCGTCGTGAAAGAGACGCACGCGTTACAGTTTAAATATCGTCGACTATTATACAGGCGATAATGGGTCACGCCCCTGGCGAAGCAGTCGTAGAAAGGTGTGAAATGGATTCTGATAGCTTTTTCTGCCCAACCCCCTCGTGAGAACGAGTTAAACGATGCTACGAGCGTGACCGGGTGTCTCTTGGATTTTTAACGACGGTTTTGCCCTTCTTGTTTTTTCGCGTTTTTTCAGAGGGTCGCAATACTAGAGTCAGACGGTCTGACAGCAGTCCATTTGTATCGAGGTGCGCTGACGTCTTGGAGTCGCAGGGGATACAGAGCTTCGTATGTTTTACTCTTCTTGGTATTATTAACACTAAGGCCGATCGCACACGGGCGCAACCGATCAGTTTCGAACCACTCCGAAACTAGTTGCATGCTACCGTGGATCTAGGTGAAACAAAGATAGTAGGTAAACCAAAAAGCGCAAACGGTTCGCAACACCAATTTCAATCGCCGTCTTCAAATTCTTGTATACGGTTCTTATATACAATTTAGTTCTACGTAAAATATTTTTGTATTCAATCCATTCACTGGCGGGCAAAGGAGGACGTTAAAAAAAGTGCCAAATTTGTATCCCGCCTAAAATATTAATCAGGTATTATTCTATAGATTCTGCACTTCGAATAAATCTGTTCGCATTAAACGGAGCGAGCTCGAAATTCTTTTCTTACGGATTTGAAAGAATAATCGTATCGCGATGGAATGATAACAAAGTTCGTACCGATCGCGAGAGACGAGCATTCGTAACAAAGCTTTTGCTCGTGCTTGTTGGCTCGTGGAATTTTACGATTGGAAGGAGGAAAAAAGATTCCTGCCCGAGGAACCAGAGTAGTTCCTCGAACTTATATTTAGCCCACCGAAAGGACTACCGAGTATCCCACAGAGGTGTAAATCATCTTGACCTAAGTCAACGCGTTTCGATTTCGGCCAAGAAATTTATGCCTCGAAACGCTATAATACGCGATGCTCCTGTAGTATATTGCGTTCTCTCCCTCCTTGAGATGGAAGCAGGGAATTAAAGAAACATAAACGAGTGGACATTTAGATAAACGTGGCGTGATGTCAATTCAATTTATTTTACAATTGGAAAGTTTTCAGCATCGACAAGTCTAAAGTTGATCATTCGCAACTTTAACCTTCCGAAGTTGAACATTATTAATCTCAAGATTACCAATATTACGTTGCCAACTACGATATTACCAACATGATACTATCAACTCTAACAATGGTAAAACGTGTAACGCTTCCACAATCACCGACGCCGATATACCCAGCATATACCTTCTCAACTTCACCAAAACGAATCCCTCCTTTAATATCATTCATAATCGATTTCCATTCGCAGCATGCGTTCGTGAATCACTAGATCGGCGCGCAACTACACCTCGAGCCTGTCAGCAGCCGCGTTTCTAGATTTGTCTCGCGATCAGGGAACCGGAGTCCCGGCTAACGATTCATTATTTTCCTACTCGAGAAGAGAAGACGCACGAGGTGCGCTTTGGTTGTTTACACGACGACCCGCGGCCACCGTTTTGTTTTAATCGACAATGAGCAGAGGAGAGAAAGAGACGTAATAAAGAGCGAACGTACGGCAGCACGTGTCTGCTTGGCATTGTCTAACGTTCGTTCCCCGTAGAGAGGAAATAATTAAGGGAGAGATCTCGCGAGCGAGATAGAGCTCGATAAAGACCAGCTAAATGAAAGGGTGCTCGCTGCTCTCGTTTGGAATTCCCCGCTTTACGTCGATCTTATCGAGGATCCTTCCACGCTCGATTCTGCCGCCCCCCCTTTTTCAAAATCGGTGCGCGTTCCCCGTGACGCAACGTTTTTCCGCTTGCTGATTTCTTTTCGAACGATTTTTCAACTGATTGTTAAGTAAGTAGCGAAGCTACTTTTGCGACTAAATTCATCAAAAATTGTCGTAAATTATTGTCAAACTTATAAAATAATTAGATTCTAGCAAAAGACTCTCGGCTCATCCGTCGGTGGATCCCAAGAGGGACAGAGGAAGATTTATGAACCATCATGTACAGGGTGTCTGGAGGAGACTGCGGGCATCTGGCATCGACCTCTCAGGTCCTTTCACGGATTTGGAAAAGCGCTAATTGGTTCGAGTAGCTTCTAATGTCTCTATAACCTGTGGACTTTGTTGCTTCTACATAACTGAGAACAAATATGTAGTATTTCTAACCTCCAGTCCTAAGCTTCTTCAACGTGTAACCTCTAGCCTCTAATATATTCCTAACATTTAACCTCTGGTGTTTTTATAGTGCTTGTACGTCTCAAATACTCCTAACCTCTAATCTTGAATGCATTTGCCTTCTAGACTCTAGTGCCTCGGACACTCTAACATTTAGTACTTTTAGACTCTAACCTCTAATTTTTACACTGTATCTTTCTAATGTATCACAAGATCTCTCTAATGTCTCGCGAGTAGCGTTTCTAATATGTAGTGCTTCTACTTCTGAAACACCTGCAACCTTTAGCCTTTAGTGCCTCTATATTCTAGAGCCTGGAACCTAGACTCTAGTGCTTCTAGCATCTAATACTTCCAGCCACGCTATCTAGTTACACGCTTCGTGTTTATCGTATATAAAATATTTCAAGTAATTTCCAAGTAGTTTCCACATTTGAAGTATCGATAATAGCAAATGGAAACAAGGAATCTTATCGTGGGGAAAGCGTGCGCAAAATGTGAACGCGCGCAGTTTACAAAATGGCGGATTCGCGACGGACCTATCGATCGCGATGGTGACTGACGCCCTGGCCTCGCTCCTCCGTTGACGCTGGCGCACGAGAACATCTACCAATTTTACGAACGAACTGCATTCCCACTCGTATGAAAAAGGAAATGATTCAACACCAAAGGAGAACCTTTAGTTATCTGATAACACACTATCCAAGCTTAACGAATTGATTCGTCAGCTTTCTTTTTTTAATTTTAAAATGCTTCGGTTACGAAAACACTTCGAGGCAAAAGTCAATTCCAAAATACCTCAATCTTAAAATGCTTTAACCCTGAAATGCTTCAAAACCAATACATTTCGACCTCAAACTGTTTCATCCCTAAAATGATTCGGTGCCAAAGAGAAACCTTTAGTTTTTGAAGAAATGCTTCGAGTGTATGATCCTTTAACCCTGAAATTCTTCAAAACCAATACATTTCGACCTCAAACTGTTTTGAGACAAAACTGTTTCATCCCTAAAATGATTCGGTGCCAAAGAGAAACCTTTAGTTTTTGAAGAAATGCTTCCAGTGTATGATCCTTTAACCCTGAAATGCTTCAAGAACAATACACTTCGACCTGAAACTGTTTTTCACCCCTAAAATGATTCAGTACCAATGAAAAAGCTTCAGTTGTCTGCTAACGCAACATCCGAAAGTTTCACAAATTGATTCGTCAGCAAACCCCGGGATAAGTCAGGCTCCAATACCCCGTGGAGACGAGCGAAAAATTTAGGACCGGATGTCCCTCTCGTTCTGTCGAGAACGCTGACACGGTGACACCATTGTTCGAGAGGTAGAAACGGATACTAAATTGCTCGTGGGGGCGACGCACACGACCCGTCCCGTGACATACGACGCCAAGGACACGAAAACCAGACGTCCCGTTTCAACCTGGCCCCGTATAATGACCTCCCATTTGTCGACTAGCAATCCTCCAATTAGAAACGCCAGCCATTGTCGAGCGCGCGACGAAACGGGCGCCACTAGCGCACGTTTATCGAAAAGCAACTACGTACAAAGTGCTACGTGCACCGTTGAATTTTTGTTAGGTTTAGTGTTAACGCTAGTAAATCGACATTATTTATTAAAGCGTTACTTCAGTAACACAAATCCGGTAAAAAATCTCCGGAAGACCTAGCGTTGATAGATTAGTAATTCTTTTTAGACACTTACTCCAATCGAGCAAGTGTTTTGTGGGGCGGGGGTGTGTGTTCAAAGATTTATAAAATGCTCCTACCTTGCCACAGTCCTTCTCGAAATCGCAGTCGCTGGAGTCCACTGCGTAGTTTCCAGACGCGTTACCAAAAACGAGCTGAAGATTCGTACCCGTCGCCGTAAACGCGATCTCTGTGTGACCCTCTCGACAGCCATTTTGAAAGCGCACTCGACGTTCCTCCACCGGCCTGTCTCTGTAACCGGTGTATCTGACCTGTAAAACAACCGTTAAACAATCTTTTGATTATCCTCGATTAAATATCATTTCCAATTCAATTCTAATTCAACGTTTGGCAATTTATTTTTTTCACGCAGTAAGTCGGCCAACAATAATATTTGTTTAATTTCTTCGGAGCTCGAAGTGTCGATAAAACGATCGTCGACGAGGTAAAGGTGACCTGATTAAGCTTTAGCATTCGTGGGCAATAGAATACTAAGAGAGCATCTCGAGTTGCTAAGAGATACCAGAAAAAAAAGGCCACGAGTGCGAAGGGTTAAGAATTTGCAGCGATCAATGGAATCGGTAACGAAAATAAAATCAGCTGATTAATTCTCTTCAGCTCCAACGTAACCAAACGAAATCCTAGGAAACCGGGAGATTCCTATCGCGTGAGGAATTTCCTGAGTTCTAATTGAGTCATCTTCTACCACGCAATCTACGATACTTTCTTAACAGTTAATTGCTATCCTAACTCATAACCCAACCATGTAAACTTCGCAAGAAATTCAAGAAATAATAGCGTATAATCACTCCAAACTTTTATTTCATTTATTATCCATTTTTAGCTGTTACTTCGGTATTTTTATCTTTTATTTCATCCTGTATCATTTATTTCTATCTATTACTTCGTTAATTCTCGGAAACTCATGCAGACGTGGTCGACAATTAAGTGCGGACTAAAATAGACGTTGTGAAGTTCGTATGAATCACGAGAGGAAGAGCGTGTAGAGTGTCGAGTAGGTTTCTATTACGTAATTACAAAGTGGAACGAGATACCAATGAGGGTTACTGATAATCGAACAGTTAATAGTAATTTCAAATCTCGATTCTGGAGCACGCTTCAATCATTTTGTATACAAACATTGTATGAATGCAAACAGAGATTCTTCGGCGTGAACGTCAATGACACGGGACATCGTGAAACTATGAAGCATACGTGATATCGAAATAAAATTTTCGCCCAAAAATCATTGAAACGTATGTACTTTTCTAAAATTCACTGTCTTATTCGTTACATTCGTGGATTAGTTACTTCAGTTTTTATTATTGGAACACTCGTGGATTAAGTTAACAGTTTATTTAAAAAAAAAACAGACCATTTTTCGTTTCAATAAGGATGAAATTGTTTTAAATTTTGTTAAGAAAAAAATTGCTTTGAATTTTATTCAAAAGAAAACTGCCCTGAATTTTGCTCGATTTTACTTGATCGAACAAAATAAAAGTAAAAAAAAATGTTCTCACCTCGCTCTCGCGACAGAGTCGCCTGAAGAGTTCGTCGCTGCCAAACTTGTCCTTCTGATCGGGGACCACTTTCGGCACCTTGAAGATGAACCTGGGCCTCGGTTGTTCGTACAGGCCCACACCATCGAAGGGCAGCATGCTCACTCCCAGCCCTCCGGGCCCTCCGGTATGTTCACTCATCGTGTGCATCATCTCGATAACTTTGCTTGATCAACAATGTCCAAAAGATCCCTTGACAACGATAATCAACGAAATCTCCAGTCAAACGGAGACCAACCGATCGAGAATCCGAACAAAGAGCACTCGATAAACCGAATATCGAGTCGATTGCACGGATATCAACGTGTCACAAGCTATCGAAGCAGATCTGCTAAGGACTCGTTCGCGAATACCGCGCATTCGACTGCGCCCAACGGCGTCTCAGTGGAGACTGAAGGACGATCGCACGCGGACCACTCGAGCTCTCTGCGTCCTTGCGCTGACCACGCCCGATGCTCCGCCTCCAACACCTCCCACCCCTCCCGTGGCGTTCAATCGCGAACGAGCTCGCGTACGGACGATCCTCTCCTATTCTCTGCTTCGACGGTCACCCCTTCGTCGCGTCAGAAACGAATTGAGGGATCGCTGGGCGACTACGAAATCGGCGTTACCGGATCTTCGAGAAGCTGAAGCTATCGTGTTTACGTTTCGAGACTTCTAAATGGACGTATCCTAACCGAATGCTCGCACGTTGTGACGAACGTATAGCAGAACGTGTTTCGATTCGTTTATTTATTTATATAAATGGGAATAACCTATTAATATGCAGATGATGTAAGATTACAAGGATGTTTATTTAAATAAGGAATTTAAATTCATGCTTCTTATGTATACAGACGAAGGGCAGAAACGTAAATTAAAGTATGCTCTGTCTTTGAATCTTGTATAATGTGTTGTACATATTTTTTACATGTAGTTGAAAACCAAACAATGGGATACGAATATGATAGAACGAAGGATAAATATTTCTGTTTATGCTAGTGTCGTAAATAATTACATGTGAGGGCATATCATTAGTTTCTGTGGCTAATAATTGCTGGAAGTAAAATAGCAATACGCGACATTTATTGGTTACTGAAATTCAAATATGTATATGAATAAATCGTAATGGCCATCAGGTTGAGACTTAAGTTAGATATATTCCTTTTAAATCAGATCGAGAACCCAGAAGGTTGGTAACTTAACCTAACGAAACGACGAGTGAATTTCTTTTACTTACACTAAAATTATTAACTCTCTGACTCTCGGTCGCCACTAGGATCGACGCAGCAATAATAATTCATTTCTTTGGAACTCGAAGGGTCGATAAAATGATCGTCGGTGAGGCAAAGACGACCTGATTCTCAAATTGGAGATCTCATCATCGATGTCAATCTAAGCTTAGGACTCGTGGCGGTAGAATGCTAAAAAAGAATCTGGATTTGCTGATGGATACCAGAAAAAAAGGCCTCGAGTGCAAAAGGGTGAAATTCCACGCCCAATAAATTGAAACGCTTGGATACTTAGGAAGTATTACAACACGTGAAAATTGCTCGAGAAGTTTCCAAGTCCAACTTTCCGGACACCTTCACTGTCTGTAGAGATCAAAGGGATGCTGAAAAAGATAGAAGAGGATGCAAGAACCAAGGAAAAAAGAATACTCAGGGTGTATCTATGACCGGTAACGCGGATCGCGCAAAGGGTCGTCGATCTTAATCGCAGGATCCTCGACAATGATCCTCTCAAATGGATGAGCCCTCGACACTCGAGTAGACGATGAAGATCTCTTCCCTCGAGGGGATACACGCTCTGTTATAACGGAGGCACTCGAACGGGGACCCCTGACACGTATTTCCCATATCTACGGGGGATAACGGCAGCCAATCCCCTGCCAGTAGCTGAATCCTGCTACGATATATTATATTATCCTCAGCGATGCACTCTTCGCCTCGCCCATCCTTTTGATCCTGCAGAGGATTCACCAACCGGCTGCAATCGCTTCCCCGACGCCATCAGCTGACGTAAAAGATGCTCCTTTCGAATCGATTTACTCATATATGATACTTCGTTCTTTACTTTTCTGATCGTCCTACAAAAAGTGTGGCGCCAAACGGAAGTTACGAAACAGTTTAATAGAAATGAAAGTCAAATAGACGATCCTGGTAGTTTCGGTGTGAAAATAGGTGTCCTCGAGGTGCAATAACGCAGCGATAAATTTATTTAAGGCTTCGTCGATGTTACACGAGGGCCAGCAATAATTTCTACGAAAAGAAATATTTTCACAAGTGGGAATGAAGTAATAAAAGTAACAGCGGTACTCCTGCGCGAGGGAGAGCGAAATTGGGCTGGAAAAGGAGTTTAAACCCACGCAGGTATCCTCCGCGGTGACTTCGACCATATTTCTTCACCAACAAACCGAGGCAGTTTAGGTTAAATAGTTTCACTGTCCCATTTTTATTGCACAGTGGTGTCGTAGAGTTTCTCCAATTTTACTGCGCCCGCATCCTCCGTTTTTCGTTAGAGGCTTCAAGGTTACTCAGCCTCGATTGTTTCTTTTTCGAAGAGCAGACACGTTCACCGAAATGCTTCCTGTCGTTCCAGTTCCTCTGGCAATCAAATTTAAAACGTGCCCCGACTCTTACCTGATTCCTCGCAAAAGTATAGACCGACTTTCTTCTGATTTTACGACTTGGGATACGATACTGTATATAGGCTACGTCTAATTTGGGGTGGAAAATGAAGAAAATGAATTTTTGACAGAGAATGCTGGTGTAAAAATTCATAGATTTCGTGTTCCTAGTTGGGTTATTATTGTTGATCCTTGGAATGCCTTCAACCTCTTTAGAGATGGTTAAAAGTTGATTAGGAGCAGTTTTAATTAGATATTTTTAATTAGATATTCATGATCTTGTTTATCCAACAAGGAAGAATGAAAATTCCATTGAAATCGTAATTGAAAGTATAAAATAAAATTGAAATTGAAATTTAAGAACAAATTCAAACGTAAGTTAAAGATTAAATTCAAATACAAATCCGACTTCATATTAAACGACTATCGAATTACTGTTATTCATGATTTTTATCTATTAGGTTTGTGCGTATGAAATGTCGTTTCTCCAATGTTTCAATTATAAGAACCTTGTTATCGACAATTACGAATACTCGGTATATTCGCATGATTTTTCTAAAGAAACAAATAAAAATGCATTTCCACGTGAAAATTATTTTGTTTAACTGCTTGCACAATGTTTCAAAAATATTTCGTACGGTTCAAGTTTTATTCGTATAAACAACGCCTGGTACGCATCATCAACCTAATGCGTGTAACTATTTTGCTAAGCGGTGGTATAGTCTGAGAGTTTCGTCGCCATGAATGCCAAGCGCGCTGAAATTGATTTCACGCGTGCGTTTGCGTTCACAGCGACGAGCGAAAAAAAAAAACACGCGTCGACGAGAAGAGGCCACGCCCGTCGAAGGGCGCGATTGGCCTACGAGTCTGTCGAATCGCAGCTTCCAGTGGGGTTGCACTGTGCTGAAGCGCGGAGAGGGGAGGGACACGCGTGCACGTAATCAGCACGCACAACGCGTGTTACAGTGGTGGCTTCACGGTTTGTGAGACCCTTGGCAAAAAATCCTTGTGTAAAAGAAGGCGAGTCTTCAATTAAAGCCATTGGCCGTATCAGTATGTCTTTAATATAACGAAAGATTTATAAATATTTTAAAAATATTTTTAAAATATTTTTAAAACAACAACAATATTAATATTAGGAACAAAAAGATTCTATATTATAATGTTTATTATTAATGTGAAATTCAAACTGTGTACTGAGATATGAAATATTCAAAACTTATTAGTCGTATTCGAATATCTATATACGTATAGATAACAGATATACACATATATACAGTATACACATATATACAGTATACACATATATACAGTATACACAGTATATACAGTACAACAGTCGGAATTATTTTAATAGTCCCAGTCCTAGCCGACACGCGACGCGGCAAAACAAACCGGGTCGATAGATTTCCGTCGCGAAACCGTTGCTAAAGAAACTATGTGATTGTGCCACCTATATCGTGTAAACACCCAAAAACGCGATTCGTTGATCCTACAATCATGTCCGGTGGAAAAAGGAATTCGTCTGGATCGTCTCCCTGGAGACACAAATCCTACGAACGACATCGTTTGAAAGTGAGTGCGATAGAATTCTTTATTATTCAAGCATAGTGATGTAACGCGTCCAAAGTGTCGATCATAGGGCATTTAATTTCTTGATTATCAACTGTACGGTAGTAGATACAGCTTATTTGGTTCAAGAAGAGTGACTAGAGCACCCATCTAGTGGCTAAAATTGCACTTACTGGCAGCCTCCTGGCGATGGTAACTCTGGTGATAAATCTGACGATAACCCTGTAATTCTATTTTACCGGTAGAATATATATTTGTCGAATCCGCAAATCGACCGTAGGTAAAGAAGTTATAATGGAGCGCAAGCGCCATCTACCTGCGTTATATATACGATTCTTATTTCAATAAATAGGATACAGTATTTTAAATTATTAAAAATTAAAAAAGATAAAAGTATAGAGAGAATATTTCTTCAATTAAGCTCCATGTTTAAAATTTAATTCGTTATTCTGTTTAGCTTTCGATAAATCAATACGTTTTATCGCTAGAGGAAGGGTTGGTGTCAGTAAAACATATTCCTGTTCTCATTACCGGTAATTTCAGAGTATTCAACAAATAAACAAAACCTTCAGATCATTATGTATCATTTAGGTGAAGAAAGCCACGTGCGCCATAGACGTGAATCCTCCACAAGTTAGACCACACGTTGCTTTCAATGCGAAAGGATTACAACTGGAACGAGAAAAGCAGGATCGTATCGTCAGGGAGAATTTCATCCTTCTGAAAAAGCTTCGCGATATTATGCACCGAAAACGACCAGTCGAAGAGAGTCACAGGTTGAAATGGGACGAATCTGGATGCATCAGAACTCGCTAATACAGATAGTTTCATCCATATGTATAACCATATACAGTAGAATGGTTGTGGGCCGTCGTAAATTAAATATTTTTTTAAATATTCTTACTACTTCATTTTCACTTTAATCAACGATGTTGTTACATTTATTTCTACCGAGTTTATCGAACGAAGAAATTTACTTTTCATAGATTACATACGAATAACAATCGATGGGTTTTTGAAACAATTTTGTGGAATCTCTTTTTCTATAAACACATTGCTATTGCTCTAGAGAGACGACTTGTTTGCCCACGAGATAATGCATCGCTGATTTTGTATTTACGTCACACATTGCTATCGTAACCCCACACGTAATATTTCCAATATTTATATCTTTCTAATAAACAAACGAACGTGAATCGAATGTCGTCTTTTACTCGATATCGAATCGTTACCCAGTTTACGAAAACTACCAAGAATTTATTGTCTCTTTAAATTTAGCGATTTAGTTTATCTTTGTTTATTAAGAACTTTTACATTTCTGTGTCAATCCGTACGACCACTTGCATGTGTTTAACTCCACCTGTTGGATCATCTTCAAAAACATAGTGCATCTAAAAGCGTTTAACCAAACTAGTGTGCAAATACAGTATCGATAAAAGATGTCAAACGGTTGTTTTTTTTCTGCGATAAAACTAAAGATCAATGGAAGAGGAAATTGAAGACTACGAGGAAGCAGAAGGAGAGGTTGAAAAATATCCCAGTTACAAATCCTCGTCAATTTTACAGGACCATACCAGAGCTTTGACACAATCAGAGGCTGGCGACTGTCTCCATACGTTAGGAAAATGCGATTCTGGTCTGGGTTATGCTTATTTAGGTCTGAACGCCTCTAATAAGAATTTGACTGACATACGAATCATACCGATGTTCAAGTATGTCCTGTACGTGGATGTTTCTGGAAACAGATTGACCACCGAGGCTCTATGTGTCCTTTCAAAGATGACGTATCTTCTAATGCTCAGAGCTGATAGAAATCGTGTGTCTTCTGCAGAAATGAAATCAATGGCTTACCTTCAGGTTCGCGATAAGATTCTAATTCTAGATAAGCATTGATATGCAATATGCCTCACAGTATTAAATATATAAAGTATTTATGTAAATGTGAATAAATTCAATGTTTTCATTCTTTTTTTCTGACGAATTAAAATTTAGAAAAAAAACTTCTCAAGAATAATACAAAAATGTTTAGGGGTAATATACTACTACTCCGATACTTCGAGCAATTTGCAATATCATCGTTTTATTTTGTCGTAGGTTTTCGCTTTAAACAAAAACAAATTGACAAGCACGTCGGGTATTTCCCATCAGCTTCTAGAATGTCTGGAATTGAGCCACAATAATATCGAGGAAGTGACATTGAATCCATACGACTTGGAGAACCTCAAAACCCTTGAACTTCGCGGTAACATGCTCGTTACTACCAACGGAATATTCTTTCCGGGACTGATTCGTCTGTATTTAGCGGAGAATCAGATCGAGAAGTTGGAAGGTCTGGAAATTTTGGTGAATTTAAAGATTTTTCATCTGCGAAGCAACAAACTATCGAATCTGAGCGGATTCGACTCGCGCTGTGCCAAGCTCGAGTACTTGAACCTCCGAAACAACGAGATCGCGAAAATCTCAGAACTAGAGAAACTGAACTGTTTGCCGTCGCTCGAGACCCTGATTGTCTTGGAAAATTCTGCTACAGGTGACACAGAATCAGACGAAGAGAGCGCGTACAGACACATCGTTTTGGCTATGTTACCTAATCTGACGCGACTCGACAAGGACCCAGTGCTTCGTCATGAAAAGAAAGAGGCTAAGGAATTTCGTAAACAAATGATTCTCGACGGGACCAGATTCGTCGATTTCGATTCCAATCTACCCAATCAATGAATTTTGACTATGCGCAATTTCCGAATGGAGGGTGTGGGCATAGTAGATAGTAGAGGTTACTTGTATGTTAGTTTTACTATACGGTTGAAAACTTTAATAGATGGAGGATAATTGTGTATTTGTAGAATAAAAACGTGAATTTTCGTTTAAACGAATTTACTGCTCTATCTTATCATCGGAGCTGTTGAATTTACAGGATTGCGAATTGTGCCCCTACCGATAGGCAACCCGGTGTTCGCTCGAGTCTTAGCATCCTGCCTGTCAAGGCGCGCATAATTACCGCGCGCTAATCGGGCTCCGTGATTGGCCGGTGTTTTTCGTTTATAATTCAAAAATGAAGCCCCCACAGCATTAAAAGGGTATTCTTTATACATTTTATCCGTGATAAAGTAGCATTTATTTGGTCAAATTCATTGATCAATCATATGAATTTATTTATTGTAATGTAAGGTCCTAAATTGAAGTTTTATTCTTTAGTAGATATTATGCTACCCACCAGTCAGTCTGTAGCGTTGGTTGCCATATGTCAGGGGCATCTCCTCTGCGCCTGATTGGTGGCAACCGTAGCTGCAGATCGACTCAAGGGTTGCATTAAAGGGGTAGATCCGGCACGTGACCTCTCCAATTTGGCCGGTCGGTATCACACCAGATTTTTCTGCGTAGAAATGGTAATACCCATAGATGCCTGGCTAACCGATGAAAACGAGATGGCGCTTTCTGCTATTTCTGTGTTCTTTCTGGAGAGAAACGATGTTGGGTCGTATAGTACAATAAATGTAACAGGTGGATGAATTTATATAATTTATATTCATGTAATGTTCCGTTTTAAAAATAAATGTTTAGACCTACCCAACAATTTCTGAAAATTTCGGTTGTTTTCATTTGCAGATATATAGAAGACATCGAACCTTGTCGCGTAGCGTACCTCTTTCTCATGCTTGGATTTATAATTATAAACTTTCCAATCGGTTTTGTAAAGGCAAGTTACCGTTCGCGAGCGAGCAAATTCGTGAATTCAGCGGTTCGTTAAAATTTAAATTTTTAAGCAGCCTGTGGAATACATGGAATTTATTTTAAATAACAAGTATTAATGAAAAACTGCGTGTAATCTGTAATCTACAGTTGTATTACAAATTAATAGAGTTGTGAATATTTGTGTTCGATGTTTTGGAAAATTTCGAAGCCAATTTAAATGGGAATTGCATTAATTACTTCCTTGTAATCTTTGGAGCGACGAGGGATATGTTTTACAATGAACGAAAACACCCTTCGGAACATGTAAACATTTTTATTACAATATTACAAATAGCAGGGGAATGTAATTATTTGATTGCAAGTCATATGAATCAAACGCTTAACGTTACAAATAATTGTCTAACTTTGTTAGAACTTGCATACACGCGTTCAATATTTATTATATTTATTTATGTGTTTCTTATTATATTTATTTAATCAGATTAAAGAAATAGTGACAATATAGTAATATATATTTCGCAGAGATGCACATGCATCCGTGTACAGTGTGGTAAAAATAAAAACTAAATAAAATATTTTCAGCATTGCTGCAGTTGCATCCCAAGAAAAATAAAAATAGAACGCTAGACCCAAGGTATGATACTGAAATTTCTTATATATTCCTTTACTTTCTCTTCGTTATTTTTTTGTTTGCAACATTTTAAGTTCGGGCGACGAATCAGACAGATAAGATCCCTGTTTTAATGTTCGGCTGTTGGATAATTTTTTTTTCTTAGCTAATTCTTATATTATTAAGTAAGTTTATGTAACCACGGCGCGATCAGGTGATTTTAACACGCGTTCGTGCGCAAGAAAATTGTCTTGGTATTTTTCCGCGGTTATAACTCGCCCCCTCTGTTACAGATCGAGAAATAAAAATGTTTATAAAATTTCGATAAGAAATTGATTAGAAATCGACGTTTCGAAGTAAATAGAATCGAGTCGTGCCGACACGTGTTACTACGTGATTCCACGAAAAGAATCGTTTGAAAAAGATCTTATCGCTATTGCAATATCTTCGCCGAGGTATTAAGAAACGCTAATCGAAACGAGTCGACGAATGTGTACGCGATACACTATCCGCACCGTAAAAATATTTATCTGATACGAGTATACAAGCCACGAAGAATATGAGGGTTCTGGAGTAAGTTGGAGGAGTTGAATCTCACTTGAATTCAAAGCGTAGAGACCACTTCTCCACTTGAACCATGATCCCTCTGCGGTATCGTAAAGCTTGAGTCATTCCACGCCGAGTCCGATATCAAACGAACCAACATATTGGATCTTGATCAGATTTTGATATGTTCTTACTCCTTTAAGCGACATTTAAACATGAATTTCTCAAAATTTCGAGTATTGCGAATCTTACAGTCGGAAAACAGTGCTACGTTTATATTTAACGGGAGAATTATTTTATCAATTTTTTTTTTGTTTTTTTTTTTTTGGTTACGATTGTCCCCTTTAATTGTATAGTCTCGAAAGTGGTATCGCGTGGAAATTGAACAAATTGTAAATTAAACGAGAATAGCTCGGTCCTGCCTGTGCTACGAATGGTTTTGATCATTTTTTTTAATAACATATGTCCAATTTCTTATAGATTTTTGGATCGAACAGTGACCGTAAGAAAAAGTCTTTAATATTTACGTTGTTCTCAAATAGTTCTCGTCGATTTAAAAGTGGTACCAGAGTTAGAAACAATGCAATATTTGAACAGTGATTATTAGAATTAAGTAATCGTTATTAGAAGCATACCCCAGTAAAAAAAAAAAAAAAAAAAAAAAAAAAGAATGGGTAATGAGAACGTATTTTTTTTTTTTTTGTAACGAGTAATGCATTATTTTTACATTACGATTTTCATATTTCTAAATGGGACTGTATTTTCTCAGTTCTCTCCACATTTTTGAATTTTGCTGTTTGCCAAATTGTTACATTCGTAATTTCGAGAAATCCCTCGATACACGTGCAGGGGCTACGACGCACTCGAAATTTGAGCAAAGTCCAAAATGTTTGCCCGTTTGACTTACGATTCTACGTAAAATGATTCGGTCACTCGATATTGGAGTCGAAATGTTCGTTCACCGTGGAAGGTTGATAATCAGCAGGACCTTGAGCTGGAAGAGTTAGATCTGACAAGTTATCAAGAGCGTTAATGCTCACTGCCTAGATCCTCACTTCCAACTACAAGTCATGCAGATAGCGCAACGCCGATACAGTCCGTGCGTAGATCTTCTCTGTCACCGAGAGCCTTCCCACGAAGATATCCGCGTAGCTTCGTAATCTAAAGCGATACCTAACCTTTTCATTAACCCGATATCGTCGCGTTACTATAACATTATTCCTAATAAGGTATAGTACTTCCAGTACTGGAACACGATTTTCAAATTACGTCGTGCTTCACTTCGATTTTGCCAAGTAAATATTAACTTGATTAAAAAAAAAGTAAGATTAGCCTTATCAGAACAATTGTATCGGGCGTTGAAATTAATTCTGTGCATTTTTAAGGTAAACTTACGACACAATCGTAAAGAAAAACCGTACAATTGTTAATTTTCCATTAGTCACACGTACCAAGAGAGCATAGAGAGCATTTACAGGAAATTTGAATGTGCGAGAAACTGCGAAATGCACACGGTATGCAAATAATAGAAAAAAAAAATATCGAAAGAAAAGTTCATGTTATAATATCGACAGAGTGAAATGTATTCCTATTTAGATACAATTTTTATAGGTAAATTTGCAAAGATTTTATCGAATGGTGCATACTTCGATGTAATAGAGTAGGAGTATGTAAAGAACAAATGAATAGAAGACTCTGGTGAAAAAATGATTCGATACTCTTCGCTTTGGATTTTCCTCCTCCAACCTATCGCGCAAGCGATCGTTCTGTGAGTCAGAGATGTTATACAGGGTGTCCCAAAAGTCGGGGAGGAGCCGGAAATGGGAGGTAGCTGAGACGATTCTGAACAACAATTTCCTTTGCAGAAATGTCGGATGGGGCTTCGTTGAGGAGATATTAAGAGAAAACCCCGACCAATCAGAGCGCGCGTAGACCGTTGGAGCGGCCGCGGTAGCGAAGGCTATGCGCCGGCGGCCGCGCTTGTACGCGAACAAGTGACTCGACGTGCATCGAAGCATCGACCTAGCGCGTAGC